CATCTCTTCAAAATTTACTTTTTCAGTTATATGAAGTATACATATTTCCTTTTAAATCGTTCGATTTTTTCTTATATATATGCCGTTCTTAAAAGTCTTTTGAATCCAATCTGTTTTTATAATAATTATTTTCACCGCCGCTCGTAAATACACCGTATTTTTTCGTTGTGTTTGTTCGAAGTATTCGGCAGTTATACAACTATGAAGCTAACATGACACTTTAAATGTGATTGGTAGACGCCTATAAGCTCTTGTACGTATTAGCTGGTAATTCCCATATAAATTTTGGATTTAGTTATTCTATGAAAGCAGTAATGAAATTCCCATTTTGTTTTTTTTCTCAGGGGCACCGAACGACGGATTTTTCTCAAATGCTTTACACACTGATTTAGCCCATCTAGGGTTCTTTTAAAGTTCTGTAGGCTAATTTTAGGCTGCGCTATTTAACAGTTAGATCATGAGCTCGAGATTTCTATAAGGTGATAGTTGATGAGGCCGAAAGCCGAATCAACTATCATCTCGTAGAAATCGAGAGCGAATAATCTAATTGTTTCAGTAGAATTTTAACTGAAATTTCCTTAAAATATCGATTCCAATCATATCTGGTCTTTAAACTTTACGCTTTAGAGAGTTCGCGGACTGAATTGTCTATTTGACATTTGTAGTTGTGTACGCGCGCTTATCAATTTTTTTTCAAAAATTTCGATCTTTTGTTAATTCAAGAAACCGCAAATGCCCTCCTTTTAGTCTTCTTAGGAATTTGATTATCCATTTGTTTGTAAATGGTCTTTCAAAACTTCGGAGAAACGAGGAAATCTTGCAATTTTGTCGACCACACAAAGCCACTGCACACTAATGGCTGATAGTATGTAATGGCTCAGCCAATCAGATCACAGCATTTGCATAAGTATACTAGTAGAATTCTACTAAAAAACGTTAGTGCTCTGTCATTTTAGGGGAATTTGAGTCATCTCCAATTTAACAAAGCTTTGCTGTAATTTCTCCAAAACTTTAACGGCTGTTGCCTTTCCGAAAATCATCAAAGCTGGCCTTTGTTCGGGACTGAAAACGACATTTTATCAACCGA